ATATATTTACTTTACTCTGTATCACTTCTAAGTTTTCCCATGCTTCTACGAATTGTTTATATTGTGGTTACAGACAGAGCAATAATATTCCATTAAAGTCATGCAGCTTTTTTTGCTTAGTCATTCTTCAACCAAGGGGTGCTTACAATATTTCCAATTCCTTGCTACGGTGGATATTGTGGTAGATATGGGACCTTCCTTTCTGTCTTTGCCTTCTTTGAGGTATATGCCTTAAAGTGGGCTCAATGAATATGGACATTTTATACACTTTATAAAAGCATATGTTCTGGGTCATTCCCTTGGTATTTTAGGTTCAACATTGGAATGAAATGAAGCATTGGTACAGATAATTTTATGTTACCAAAGAGGATTATTTAGCCATAGCAAGAGGATTATTCAACAAGGAAAGACGTTGAGGAAATTTGAAGTTGATTCAGCTGAGTGACAATCCCTTGTTTTTCTTTAGCTAAGCACCAGAGAGAGCTCCTGGGATTCCTTATGCCTACTTTTTACCCAGGCTACCAGGAGTGGTGTCAGCAGCCTGAGTCTTTGGTCCTCTGAGCCAACCAAGTCTTTGGGATCATCTCAGTAACTTTTAAAGGAGAAACTCACCTAATTTGTCAAGTTAGAATATTGCTTCCACTACAGCATAATTCCCAATTGTTTTCCAAAATGATTAGATTGATTCATAGCTCTACCAATAGTGTATTAGTGTGCTGTATCCCTGTAACTCCTTCAATAATGATGCTTTCCAAGTTTGGGGAATTTACTGGATGTGAAGTGAAACCTCAGAGCTGTTTTAATTTGCATTTCTCTTTGTCCAGTGTGTGTGTGTGTGTGTGTGTGTGTGTGTGTAGGGTGATTTTTCTCTCCAGCCTAGTTAATGTCACACCAGAAAATAAGGAGCTAACTGAAAGACAAAGTGTTAATGTGTTAAAGTGAAGTGTAAAGAGGAGATGACAACCAATTAGCTCTTTCCAAAGTATGAAAAAATTTCCCCGTAGAAACTGGAAGGCTGGCTAAATATTGTCCATGCCTCTGTAGACTCTGAAAAGCTAAGCTTGCTGGCAGCCAAGATATATTAGAAGCACTTATCCCTTTAAAATGATAAAGAAGATTCACTCACAGAATTGGAAGCACTGAAGCTTAGCCATCAGGGGTAGGGACTGTCTTCTGCCCTTCTACTTATTTCATAAAGCGATCACCCCTGTGTTGCTCTGTAAACATTGTCTGCCTGGAGTCAAGAAGACCTGAGTTCAAATTCAGCCTCAGACACTTACTAGCTGTGTGACACTGGGTGAGTCACTTTACCCTGTTTGTCTTAGTTTCCTCATCTGTCAAATGAGCCAGAGAAGGAAATGGCAAACTACTCCAGTATCTTTGCCTTGAAAATCCCAAATGGGGTCGTAAAGAGTCGGACATGACTGAAATGATTAAACAACAGCAAAGTGTCTGAGCATAGCAGAAGCCTAGTGAATGAAGCCAGACTGGAGACCTGGTGACTAGAGGCTAATGACAATAATTAAAACAACCATAATTTATTTAATTTATGACATTTACGGTTTGCTAAATGTTTTCCACCTATTATCTCATTTTAATCTCAGAACACTTTTGGACATATAGCATAGTATTATAAAGTAGTGAAACTGTGTTCCTTTAAAAATATCTCATGGTCTGTAGTTGTGGGAAAAACACAGAATTGTAGACAGCAGCTGTGGAAATAATACTTGTTTTTCTATTTTCCATAAGTTGAAAAATGCACTCATCTCAGGACAGGTTATCTTGTTCTGGGAACGTTCACATGAGAAAAACCATGCCCACCCCTTCCTGATATCCAGCTGATCTCAGAATTGACCTTTACTGTGATTGGTTTAAACTATTCTTGCTAATGCTGCAGAATGATGCCTAAAAGTGGTGTATAAAAAGAATACATTGATTCGACTGCCTTAGTACGTCCCCAGATAGCTGAATAAAAACCTTTTTGCTGGGTCTCCAGTCTCCTGCTTACTCACTGACCTTGTTTTCATGGACACACTGAGATTGGTCAGGAACGACCCCTGAGGGTCAACTTCAAATTTAATTCCACCAGACTTTTCACCAAGCTATGGTCTTCATCTGCCAGGGATACAAGGTTACATGTGGAGGACCCACTGACTCTCTGTGAGTTTCTCTTTCTCTTGTGCCTTGCTTCTGCACCTAAAATTCTATTTGAACAGCAATCTGAATTAATGCATGGATCAGAGTAATAGCTTTTGAGCTGGAAAGACCTTAGAGACTATGTAGACTGGACCAACTTCCCTATTTTACATATGAGGCCTTGAGAGATGAAGTAACTAACAGAACTCATGTCTCCTGGCTCCAAATTCAGGTTCAAACAGCAAAACACCCAGTTTAAATTCTGTTGTGGGCATAGTTAGCTAGCAGGATCTGCACCCAAGATTCTACATCTGATGCAAAATACAAAGTTAGGACAGAGGAATCACACCAATCACACAAGCACTTAAAACAACTTTAATGGGTATGATAATAATTGGTATGTGGGATGTCTTATGACAAATGTGATTACAATGACATCAAATATCCAATCAACTTGCCCACTTGTGTTCCCAGCTTTCAAGGACAGTTTTTCCCACCCCCAAGAAAAGTAAACCAGTTTTTTTTATTCATTTGGTTTTCTCCATCATCCATTACAACCGCTACTTTTAAAAGCAAGGTGTGAGTGATACATTCATTTGACAAAGAAGGTTAAAGGCAAAGAAGGTGAATCATTGTACAAATTAGTATCTGGTCCAGCTATGATCTGCCCTCTCTTCTGAGAGGAAAAAGATTGAGTCATGCATCTGTGCAAGAATGATGAAGGTCAAACAAGTGACATGGAATCCAAAGAAATCCCAACAAGGACTCGGCAGAAGATGGGATGTTCAAGTCTATAGCTCAGCTGTCTTTGGGGCTAGGGCCTCCTTATCTCTGGACCCTGACCACCCATGTTGATCATGTCCCATGAAGCCATGTTTCCATGTGAAGCTAGAGACTGAATTAAAAGTTCTAGGCTGGCAATGCCCAGCGGTGGTATCCTAGCAATCTACTGTTTGAAGGTAAGACATAGCCATGATGGCTTTCAGATGAGGCCAGGATACGGCTATGCATTTGCATTTGGAAGTAGGAACAAGAGATTCACGTATCAGCAAATAAGGAACTGAAATCACTTAGATGCCTACATAATTCTTAATATTTATAGTCATTTTCTCTAGAGGCTAAAAACACATTGCAGATGTGGCCTTATTCATCCTCACAATTCATCTGGGAGGCAGGTAGGGGAGAAGCATTGGAGTTGAGCATCACTTCCATTTTACAGATGAGTGAGCAAAACTACATAGAGGTTGGTCAACTTGAGTACGGTCACATGGAAGGTATCAAAAATAGCATCCATATCTCCTGTATCTCAATGATGTAGACAGGTGGGCGTGTCTGCCTGTTTAATAAACAGCATGACATCTCATGCAAATGATTTCCTCCATGGTTGCACTGCTGATATTCTCCTTATGATGAAGAGAAGTTAAAAGTCTGTCTCCCTAAGCCAGTCCTATCAATGATCAGCCTACTTTAGGCTCTCATCCCCTTTCATCTGGACCATAGCCATTACAGATGGACTGGTTTCATTTCTTTGGCAAGATGACTTAAAGCAAACCAACAGTGATGAAATTCTGTATGATCAAATCCCGTCTTTCCCATAATGACAATAGGAAGAATTGTTAGTAGGATTTTTCTGAGCAGTCCTTCAGTCTGAGGTCTACACTTCTGGCTCCCAGTCCCATCAATGAACCAGCCCCCTTTGGGATCAGGATGTCTCAGTCTAAGCATCCAACTTCCCTGGGTTCCTTCAAGTCTCAGATAAAATGCCTCCTTCTGCAAGAGGTCTTTCCCAATGCCCCTCAAGGCTAGTACCTTCCCACTGCAGATTGTCACCAGTTTATCTTGGTTGCAAGTTTTCTTACCCGTTAGTCTGTGAGTTTCTTGAAAACAAGGATTCTCCCCTTAGCACAGTGTCTAGCACATAAAAGGTGCTTAATAAATGATCATTGACTGGTGGATTGACTAATATGCAATACAACTGGAACCCTGTGTAAAAGACTCTCTGGTAAAAAAAGGATGCTTCCTGAATCCTATTGACATGAATTGTTATTGTTTCTATGAACTCAACATGTGCATCTCAAGCTCAACGTGTTTAAAACAGAATTCATTATCTTCCCTCATAAACCTAGCCATCTTTTGAACTTCCCTGATATTGTGAAGGACACCATTATCATTCTAGTCACCCAGGTTCTCAATCTCCAGGTCATTTATGAATCCCCCTTTATATGAATTGCCAAATCTAGTGGGGGCCATCTTCAGTCATCCTGATCTATATCTGGACATCCTGATCTAAATCTATATCCTGATCTATATCTCTATCTATGATCTATATCCAGACCCAGGTGCCTCTGGAGGAGACAGAGAGGCTGGTGACTTTGCACAGCCCTCCCTCACTCAAATCCAATTCAATTGCAAGCCATGGCATCACCTTTCTGATGTCACCATCCTCTTTGAGAACAAAGAATAAACCACCACCACAACAAATCTAGTCGTTTCTTTCTCTCCACCAGTCGCATCTATGCCCTTCCCTCCATTCATGTAGCCTCCAGACTAATTTAGGTCCTTGTCACCTCTCGTCTGGACCACAGCTTTGTGATTGGTTTCTCTGCCTCAAATCTCTTCCCATTCCAAACCATCATCCATGACGGCTGCCAGAATGAGATTCTTAAAGTTGTAAGGCTGTAATTTCCGCCTTACAGTGATTTACAAGAGTAAAGTTATAATTTCTAAATGGCTTTTGAATGCCTCTCCGATCAAACGTAGACTTTTCTTTTTGACATTTAAACCTCTTCCCAATATGGTGCCTTCCTATCTTTCCACTAATGTAACACATTACTCTCTTCCCTGTGCTCTATGGTTCAACTATACTGGCCACATACATTCCATCTGCCATCTTTTTTCAGCCTTTGCATTGGTTGAATTCCATACCTGGAATGCTCTCCCTTCTAACTTCCAACTCTAAGAATCCCTAGCTTTCTTTAAGATATAAATTAAGGGCTAATTCCTATAGGAGACTTTTTTTTTCTTTTTCTATTATCTGCTAATACTATGCATTTTAAGGCTGCCTTCCGTTTCTGGATTTATCTGTGTATATATCATCTCTCTTATTAGAATGAAAACTCCTTCAGGTCAGATACTTTTCCCTTTTTGTAAGTATCCTCGGGGCTTAGCATAATGCTTGGCTATAGTGATTGCTTAATAAATGTTTGTTGATTGATTCCTTAGGCAGAGTCTGAACTCTCTGGTAGGTACATAAAACCTCAGGGGCAGAACCTAGCATCCATTGGAGTTAACATCTCCTGAATAAAATGCTGCATGGGCAGCTTAAGCGAATTTCCTTGTTGTAACATGGCCTTTTGTTTCCCACAGTGGGGTTCTGTATGCCTTCCTTGCTCCTCAACCATCCAAGACCTCTGGGAGTGAAATGAATCAATCAGCTAACTACCAATTTATTAAGTACCTACTAGGTGCTGGGAACATTAAGACAAACATGAAACAGGCCCTGTCTTCAAGGAACATTCATGTTAAATTTAGGACAGTGGGTGTTGTTGGGTAGGAGAGACTGGAGAGGAAGAGGTGGGAGTAGAGACATCACCAGTAGGGGCTATGGCCAGAACAGCCACTTAGCCCTTTCTACCTTTTTCTATAAAGACCCTACTAGGCTCACGAAAGGAGCTTCATGGCTGACAAGTAACATGAAAACTACTCTGTTATTCCTGAAAAGATGAGAAGATAAAATGGAGGGGAAAAATTGTTTTGTTTTTAGTTGTTAGATAGGTGAAGGATAGAGAAATGTTAATTAGAGGTCCTTTGTTTCCTGTTGTCTTAAAAAAAATAACCTATACCCTCTAAGAAGTGGCTCCTGTCCTATACTAAATTTTTGTAGTGAAGGGTTATGGTGTCCGAATGCTCTATTTCGGCACCTAAGGGCCCTTTGTTATTATTTAGGGGCATAGCACATCATTTGCAGGAGACCAGAGAGATGGAGGAAAGCATAGAGTTCCTATACACCAAATATGTTATTATCTATCAGCAGCAAGAGTTAGATCGTAAGTTCTTTGAGGGCAGGGACTTAAAAATTTTTTTTGTCTTTCTTTGTATCTCCAGAGCTTAGCACAATGCCTGGCACAAAATAAATACTTTAATAAATCCTTGTTGACTGACTGAAATAATACCTGACCAGGTTTCACATTCTCTATGTAATTTTGATTGTGCTCATCAAAGGAGAGGGGGTGATGATGTGTTTGAAAACAGGTACAAAGTATATTTGTATCCCACAAGGACATGGATGTTGTAAAGGTCAGCATGGTGATTGAAGCTGTTGTTAAAAAAATACTATTTGTGTGGGCCTCATTTTCTTCTAGTGAGCAATCTTTTTTCCCTGCATTTTATCTTCTCAGCTTTTCAGGAATAATAGAAAGAACAGTTTTCAAAAATGATTCCATTTCCTTAAAAGGGTGCTGGTATTTAATCAAGTTTCTTTAGGCAGGAAATAAATAATGCCCTGGCTTGTCCATACAGTGAATAAGAGGAGAGTTAGCAAGTGCAGGCATAGGGGCCAAGAAATGAGTTGATCACACTGTAAATTCCCTGTCTAGAGGGATGTGTAACTGAGAAATTGAAGAAATGCCTTCAGAATGCATCTGCAGCTGACCTTGGTTTACTGAAAGGTAATAAGGCCAAGGCCAGCAATCTCATGGGCCCATGGAGAGGGTTCTGTGGTCTCCTTCAGATAAAGTGTGGGCCACAGCATACCCAGAGGTCTCTCTGAAACTGCCTTTTCTGCATCCCTGCCCCAATATCCAAATGCTCCCACAATTCCAGGTGGGCTGGCACCCTCACCTGTCTCCTCCTGCCTCAAGCTAAGTTCACCTTAAAGGGCCCTCATTGGGCCCATCAAGAAGCTTGCAAGTGCATGGGCTTTTCCAACGGAAGTGGGATGCCTTGGGCATCCTTAATTTGAGACACCTTGTGAAGCAGAGAACTACAGAACGCATCAGGATCTGAAACTCACTTGTTAATTCTGCACCTTGGCAGGCTCCCTCCTTTCGTGCACTTTTTATTTTGATCATTCCTTAATTAGGAGAAGAAAGAGCCTACAACCATTTCTGCAGGGCTGCAGCTGGGATCCAGGACCAAATAAACAGAGATTAAAAAGGAGTCCAAGAAACATGAGCTTCTGCAGATGAAAACCCCTCTAGTGATCATTTTCTCAGGCTTTCTTTTGTGGAGATTTAATATGATTTCCCACATAAAAGCCATCCTTGCTCCCCCAAAAGTACATCCCTTCTCCAAAGCAGCCAGGGTGGTCTCAGCTTCCATGCTGTTTCACTCGGTTGAGATTCAATTTGGATTCACCTAAAAATGATAGCTCTTTTTTTTTTTCTTAAAGAGAAGGGAAGCAGAAACCAGAAGAGAAGAAAAATAAAAATTATAAACCAAACGACCAAACAATAAAACCAACAAAACAGGCCACAGGGTTGTCATTGAATGCATATCAGGTAATTAGCATTAATGCTACTAGAGAAGCACTTTTAAATTAAAGAACACATGTGTCTCGTCTGTTAGGAGTCATCGTAAAGTGGGTTGTTGTAGTTGCCCCAGGATCCATAGTCATGGTCATCCAGCAGCCTTCCGTAGGAAGAATGCCTGTGAGAAAAGGGAAACGAGAGGGTCTGGTTACTTGGAGGTGGCCCAGATTCTCATCTCATCCACATCTATTCTCTGCTGTGGTGAAATTATAATCTAGCTCTCAATGACATCACTGGCCCTATTCTACCCTCAAGAAATCCACTCTAATTATTCTGGGTATGGGTTTTGGTAAATCCTGTTTGGAGAATCTACCCATCACCTCCTTCCTCTGGGCCTTTTAATATTTTAGAGGCTCCATGGCAGATAATTCTGCCTACCTGTTCCTTTTTTTTTCCCACCATTTACTATTTTACCATCTTTACCATCTTTTTACCATTGCTCTTTCTACCTGACTCGTTTCTTTTCTGTTCATAAATGCCTCTCGTGTCACTCCTCATGTGAATCTGAAAGCTGAGAAAGCGTAAACCTTTTAGCCAATTCTTTTCACATTCCTTCCCCTGATGTCTTCCACATTTCTTGCCTCCAGTTCTACCACTGGCTGTTCTCAGATTGGGAATGAAATCAAGTTATTCTAATAGGAAATTGAATCTAATGAGATATATGTGTATATATATATATATATATATATATATATATGTGTATGTATGTATGTATGTATATACACATATATTTTAAAGTCATCAGATAGAATTGATCAGAAAGGTGTGGAAGCCTGCAGCAATAAGGCTTCTCTTGTGTTATAAAATAGTGAGGAAAATTCTTGTAGCAACAATGTCTTTGATCTGGTATCCTTAAGACTGTCTGGTCTCTTTTGAAGTATGGATTAGATAGATGGCCCAGTTGATAAAAGTGCTGGACTTGGAATCAGAAGGACTTGAGTCCAAATTCTGCCTCAAACATTCTCTAGCTCTGTGGCCCTGGGGAAGACACTTAACCACTGTCTATGTCAGTTTTTCTCATTTGTTAAATGGGAATAATAATACTACCTACCGCCAAGGACTATTGTGAGGATCAAATGAGATTATATCTACCTACCTACCTACATACATACATACGTGTATATAGTTTTGCAAACCTTAAAGTGCTCTATAAATACTAGCTACTATTATTGTTATTATTATTATTTTAAAATAATATTTTATTTTCCCCCCAATTACATGTTAAAGCAGTCTTAACATTTTTTTTTAAGTTGTGAATTCCAAATTCTATCTCTCCCTTCCCTCCCCCCTCCCTGAGATGGTAAACAATCAGATATAGGTTATACACGTGTCATCAATATAAAACATTTCCATATTAGTCATTTTGTACAAGAAGACTTGAAGAAAGAAAGAAAAAGAAAGAGAAGGGAAGAAAGAAAGTGAAAAATAGTATGCTTCAGTCTGTATTCAGACAATATCAGTTCTTTCTCTGGAGGTGGATAGCATGTTTCATCATGAGTCCTTTGGGGACGGTCTTGTATTGCTGAGAAGAGCTAAGTCATTCACAGTTCTTCATCATACCATATTGCTGTTACTGTGTGCTCTCCTGGTTCTACTCACTTCACTTTGCATCGGTTCATGTAAGTCTTTTCAGGTTTTTCTGAAACCATTCTGCTCATCATTTCTTATAGCACAATAGTATTCCATTACAATCCTATACCACAACTTGTTCAGCTATACCTCAATCGATGGGCATCCTCTTGATTTCCAATTCTTAGCCACCACAAAAACAGCTGCTCTAAATATTTTTGTACAAATTGGTCCTTTCCCCCCCTTTTTTTTTTAAATCACTTTGGGATACAGACCTAGCAGTGGTATTACTGGATCAAAGGGTGTGCATGGTTTGATTGCCCTTTGGGCATAGTTCCAAATTGTTCTCCAGAATGGTTGGATCAGTTCATAACTCCAACAGTGCATTAGTGTCCTTATTTTTCCACATTTCCCCCAACATTCATCATTTTCCTTTTTGGTTATATTAGCCAATCTGATAGGTGTGAGGTGGTACCACAGAGTTGCTTTAATTTTCTAGCTGTTATTAGTAAATCAAGATAGGGAATGTTCTCAATCCCTTGAGAAATCTGAACTGACGATTGGGTTCATAAAAGGAATATACTTGGTATACTTCATTTTCTTTTTGGTTAATGAAAGAAAGTGTTAGTTTTCTGAAAAGACCTGCTTCTTCAAGGTGTGCCCACTTTACCACTGTTTCCTTTAAAAAATAAATCAGAAACAATAACTGAAATTTAAATTCTTTCAGTCTTTGGTTGGTGTGGAATGTCTATCTTTTATCAACAAAATTTGACTTCTTGCTTGAGGGAGTGGGTTTTTCAGGTGAGCAGGAAGAATTGTGCACCCATTTCTTCCCTTGGACAACATCAGGAGCCTGGTGCAGGGCCTCATCACCTCATGCCTACACTTTTGCTGTAACTTACAATTTGATAGTCCTGCCTCAAATCTCTCTGGACTACAATCCGTCAGTCACTCAGCTGTCAAATTAATCTTCCTAATCTACAGACCTGACCACCACTCCCTCATTTTCAATGAACTCCACTCACTCTCTATCACTCCCAGGATTAAATATTAAATGTATGCTGACATTTGAAGCCCTATACAGCTTAGCACCCTCTTACCTTTCCAGTCTTCTTATACCTTAATTCCCCCACATGTACTACTCATCCTCCAGGGACACCATCCTCCCATAAAGACCCCCCATCTCTCACCTCTGGACACTTTCACTGGCTGTCTCCCATTCCGGAAATTATCTCCTTCCTTTCCATTTCTTATCTTCCTTTTGAGTTCCAACTAAAATCTCATCTTCTACAGTAATGCTACTATCTTCCCTCTGTTGAATATTTCTAATTTATCCTATTATGTAGCTTGTTTATACATAATTATTTGCATGTTGTCTCCCCCATTTGGCTGTCTCTTGAGAGCAGGGACAGTCCTTTGCCTTTCTTAAATACCAAGGCATTTAATAAATGCCAATCGACTGATTGGCTAGTCCTGGTGGTCAGGATGTCTCTTCGAACAAAGTGGTTGTGCACTGATAAAATGTGTGTCTGAAAGGCTTAGGTAAAATTCAGAGTGAACCACCCCATGATATATAACTTTTCAAAAGAAATCTTATGTGCCTCCATGCCCATAAAACAGGATGTACTCACAGGCATGTTTATTTATGTGACCCTTTTTCCAGTACCCTCTGGTTGTCTACAAGAAATTCCCTCGGAACATAAAAGAGTCTCATAGAGTTAAAATGAAGCCTTGGAACAGAATTTATTATGCTTCATGCAAATTTCTAAAAAGCAGGGGCAGCAGCCATGAGCTCAGACAAGTTCATCATAAAAATAGCAGGGAGACTAAAGGTACCACAGATAGCAAAACTATAGAGTTGGAGAAATGGGCCCCTTTTACCTCTAATAAAAAGGTAAAGCAAAGAAAAGAAAATTCAGAGAATTTGCAAAGAAATTGCATAAGCAAAGAGGAAACAGGCAGCTGGGTGGCACAGTGGATAGAGCGCCAGGCCTACAGTCAGAAAGACTCATCTTTGGGAGTCCAAATCTGGCTTCAGATACTTACTAGCTGTGTGACCCTGGCAAGTCACTTAACCCTGTTTGCCTCAATTTCCACATCTGTAAAATTAGAAGGAAATGGCAAACCATTCCAGTATCTTTGCCAAGAAAACCCCAAATGGGGTCATGAACAGTTGGACATGACTGAAAATGACGAATAACAGCAAAAGAGAAAATGAAATAATAGCTTTTTGCAGATGGTATGATGGTTTACTTAGAGTCCCCTAAAGGGTTAACTAAAAATTAAGTGAAACACTATATCAGATTGAACACTATCTTGGTGGGGGGGGGGAGAAAATTTACAACTTAAAATCTTACGTAAGTGAATGTGGAAAACTAAAAGTAAATTTTTTAAAAAATTAGATGAAGTAATTAATTTTTAACAAAGGGGCAGTATATAAAATACTGCAACCCAAATAAAAAATAAAACTGATGCAGAGCGAAGTGAGCACAATCATGACAATGATTTATATAATGATTACAATATTGCAAAGAAAAAGAACTGGAGAAGGACTTAAGAACTCTTGTCAAAACAATGACTAGGATTCCAGAAGACTGATAATTTAATCAAACTTCTGGAACACAGGTTGGTGAGTGATAGATTAGAGTTGGTGTGGGGAACCTTTGGCCCCCAGGTCACCCCTGGATTAGAGGCAAGGAAAAAGATATTTTCAGACAAGACCATATATGGATTCCTTTTGCTAGATTATACTTATTTGTTATGAGGGAGGGGCTTAATTTTTCTTTGTTGGGGAGATATTTATAGGGGGAATCAGAGAAGTAGTGGTAGTACTAGCCCCCCCCCCGTAAGAACATTACAACATTAAAAACAATTATTACAACATTAAAAAATAATATACAGAAGAGAAAAAAAGGAATTCAGAATGGGACACAGAAAAGCAGGGCAGTGTTAGAACTGAGTTAAAATTATTATTTAATAATAGCTAGCATTGACATAGTACTTTAAGGTTTACGAGGTGCTTTGCAAATATGTCTCAACTGTTCCTCACTACAACTCTGGCATATAGGAGCTCTTACTGTCTCCATTTTACAGATGTGAAGACTGAGGCAGACAGAGGTTAAGTGACTTGCAGAGAGTCATACAGCTAATAAATATCTGAGACTGGGCTTGGACTCAGGCCTTGGTCTAACACTTTATCCACTGTACCATGTAGCTGCCTTTACGTTAAACAAATCAAGCCAGGCGTGATAGATATTCAGTATCCTTTTTTCTTCCCCTGTCCATTTTATATAAGGGAACATTCATATTTGTTACTATCAGATGTATAACAAGATGAAAGAGAAAAAATTTAAAAGAAAAGAATAGTTTTATAAAGAATAAAAAACTACAAAATAGTTGTATCTGTTGGGCTATGATTATACCCAATTATAGTAGCATCCACATCATTGCTGATAGCAAAGGTACTTTTGTGCCTAAGAAGATGAGATCCTTGGCAGAACTTTTGGTACTTACTTAAAAGAGAGTGGCTGTGGACTCAGCCGTCAATCA